TATGATTATGCTGACGTAAGGGAAGAACCTTCGTCTCCTCATGTAAGTGGTCCACAGGTGTCATGAGGAGGCACTCTGTTGCAGTTCTCAGGGCGGCATTCTGGCAGGTCTGAATACATTTCCACTGCGTTGCACTTGTATTCGCCGACCACACTGGAGCCGCATAGCTAACCACAGACCGACCTTTCGCTTTATAAGAGGTCAACAAGGTTTCCTTATCCGCACCCCAAGTGCTGCCGGCTAGCGCCTTGAGGACCTTGTTCCTACTTTTCATTTTATCGCAAATAGCTGTGGCTTGCGCGGAAGACTTGAACATGCTATCGAATGTGACCCCAAGGATTTTGGGGTAGTTGGTGGTCGGAATTATATGCCCCTCGACCTGCACATTCAGCTGTGTTCTCATCTCCGCAGTCCATGTGGTAAATAGTGTGGCCGTCGATTTAGTGGCGGATATTTTCATATTCCTCGCGTGGAAGAAGGCGTCAAGCTCCGCGAGATAGTTATTCACCCTGACACATATGTCATCAACTACAGGACCCGACGCCATGATCGTACAATCATCCGCATAAGTTACGATCTCGATGCAGTCTGGAGGGCGCGGAATTCCGGAAAGGTAGAGGTTAAACAGTTCCGGAGATATCATCCCACCTTGGGGAACTCCCTGTTTCACTCTACGAGGCTTGGACTTCTTATTCCGGAATTCCACGTACGACTGGCGTCCACACATATAGTTGACTATCCAACGTTTCAAACTTGGCCGGAGGGTAGTGTTCTCAACGTCCTCGAACAGCGTGGCATGGTTGACCGTATCAAAGGCCTTTGATAGGTCGAGAGCCACCACTACTGTTCTGTGGCACGGCCTGTTCTGGTTGAGTCCTCGACTGATATGTGTGAATATGGCGTGCAATGCTGTTGTAGTGCTATGTAGTGGACGGAAACCGTGTTGATGGTTAGCAACTGAATAGCTTCCTCTAATACTGGGGTAAGGCCTCGAGAGTCTTTGCTACTGGCGACAAAAGCGAAATTGGCCTGTATGATTCGCCTTTGCTGGCATCCTTGCCAGGCTTCAGTAGCGGGACCACCCTGCCCATTTTCCAGGCTTCGGGAACTATGTGGGTGGCTAACGACAAGTTAAGGACTTTGGTTAAATACTCAACTCCCGGCGTATCCAGTTGCTTCAACATTACCATTGATATATTCGGATGACATTCGCAACATCACCCATCGTAAACTGTGGAGGTACATCCTCGGCGGGAAGAGCTCTTATACGACGTAGTACTCTTCGCCTCGCCCTATCACTCTCGGGGTGCTCGACAAATTGGCGGTTAAAACAGCCAGCGCACCTCTTCGGATCAGTCACAGTTACGTCGTTAAATGTGACTGCTGTCCTATCATCCTTTTTTCCAGGGTTCGAGAGTGACTTTACCGTTACCCACAGTTTACTCAAATCGGTTCCAATGTTGCAACACTTCAGATGGTCTAGCCACTTTTTCCGCTTATGCTCCTGTACCAACCGGTTGACTTCCACTGTCAGTTCACTGACTCTGGGATCAGTAGGGTTGGTACGTCGGAGCTCATCACGCTCATTCGCTAATCCCGCTGCCTCTGCTGGGAAATTTGGTCTTACTTCGGGTATTCGACCAGCAGGTATATAGCGAGCGGCTGCAGCTTTGATGATGTCCCGGAAAATCCTTTCAGCTACCCGAACATCAGAAGGATTGGGCAGTTCTCTGAAGCGAAGGTTGGTGAACTCTCTGAACTCGGGCCAGTGGGCTTTCCCATGGTTAAGGAAAGTGCGGCGTTCAGAGGTTATGAAATCGGGCGATCTGCTGATGGAGACGATTATCGGGAGATGGTCTGAGCCAAGAGAAATGACGGGTTGCCAAGTCACGTCATTTATCAGACCGGGTGACACGATGGTTAAATCTGGCGAACTGTGACACTCTCCTCTTATTCGGGTGGGGGCATCCTCGTTTACCGTGCAAAATGTGGAGCAGTCAATCTGCTCTGCCAACGCTGATCCCCTCTGGTCATTACCTAGGACGGAATGCCACAACTCATGGTGGGCATTGAAGTCCCCTAGTACCAGGCGGTTATTGCCTTCCAAAAGTGGGCTTATATTAGGCAAGTAACGCGGTTCACAGCTATTAACCGGCGGGATATACACATTAAGCACCTCTACCTCGGCAGTACCACACTTGACTGCTACCCCCATACACTCCATGTACGGGTCACTAGAGACTAGCTCAAGCGAGATAGGTCTGTATTGAACAGAATGGTGTATCAGGAACGCTAATCCCCCACCTCCACTTCTGGTGCGATCTTTCCTCAATACGTTGTAACCATTGCAACGTTGTAAGCTACAATTTTCATTGAGCTTGGTTTCCTGCACCGCTGCGATCTTAATATTCCTCCGATTCATAAAATCCACTATCTCATCAATTTTACCTCGGAGTCCGTTGCAATTGAACTGCAAGAACGATGCACTGTCCGGAATTGGAACAGCAACATGTGGCGTTAGGTGCTGCAGTAAAGGTTGCTGTTCTAGAGACTGCGGGGGAGTTCCATACTCCGACGACGACGAGGTCGTGGACTCACTGGGGACTACGTTGGTGCAGCACGAAGCAACATAGTCCCTATCGCTATAGTCTCGCAACCGGGTTAAACCGGAACAATTTCTAAAATGCACCCATCCTCTGCATCCATTACATCGCACCGAGACTGATCTATGGTGGATGGTGTTTTGGCAAACCGTACAGAACCATGGTCCGGGGTTTTCCTCAAGCCCGGCTCGGACCAAAAGAATCCGGAGCAAGCATTCCGGGATGTGCTGCTCCCAAAACAGAAAAATAAACAAACACGAACATGTATACACTGGGTTGGCAGCCGCTGGCCGAAACTGGAGTGTTGTTGTTTCGGGTCAATCCGGTGTCGTAGAACCCGCTGCCGTGGGATTGATGTTTGTTTCAATTGATTGGCTGATGATGACTTTTTTAGACATAGACATGTAAAATAGAGAAATAGGGTAAGTGCGCCTAAGTTCGGCATGTCCCAGTAGTCGGCATTTTTGAAATTTAAACTTAAATAACTAAAAATGTGGTCGATTCCATTTTTTTTTTAATGCAATAATTGCAAAAAAAACGTCAGCAGTGTTGTCTGCTCTCTTTCTGTAAAAACGATGAGCTCCGATCATTTATTACGAGAGAATAACGGTTTTCGTCAGTGAGTGTCTTCCAACGCGTGCGACAGTGCTTGTTTGTAAAGAAAAAATTAGTGGTGGCGTCAACTTAATCATCGATTTAAGTAAATTAAATTTAATACTTTTGGAATCAGAAATATGTTATAATAGTAAATAACAGTCTAAAGATCATTTTATAACTTAAAAAACGGTTATAATCAAGCATTTTTCTCTTATATTATTTAATGCCGACATTAGGAACAGAAAAAAAGAGATTAGATCATTTTTGACCTATTTCACCATAACTTGAGAAAAGTATTAAAAAAATCCAAAATCTACTCAAATAAAAAACAGTTTTGAGTCGGCAGTTGCTTTTATTTGTGATTTTTGACCAACATTTCTAAATTAAGTATGTTTTTTTTTAAATAAGCTATTTGACGTTTTAGATAGCGGTGGCATTTAATAAAAATGTTGGTTATCTAAAGGAAAAAGATCAATTCACAAATTCCAAATATAATAAAGGTACTTTTTTATTTAATCTCATTTTTATTTTAATTGAAAATCCATACTATTCTTGTTTTTCTACCTATATTTGGTTTAGAATGATAATTAAATAAAACACTATTTAAAAACGAAATTAGTTAATTAAACTGTGAATTAGTATTACAGTATTGTTTTATACTATTTGAAATAAAAAAATATACAAAATAATATTTTTTTAAATGAAGTAGCATATGCCAACTACTTGCAAATAGACATGCCGAGTATTGGAAAATGGTGCCGACTACTGGCAAAAAACTACTATTTTGGTAAAATTTCAAATTTTGCCAATTTAATAAAAACAAATTCAATTGTTGTTTATTATTTCGAAAACTAAACAAAATATGGAATCTGAACAACTTTATTTTTCTGCAATTGAAAGATTTCACTCAGAATGTCGAAAATTGAAATATTGAAAAGCCTAAAAGTGCCGACTACTGGTACACTTACCCTATACCCTCTGTCATAAGGTTTTTTATCTTTTTGGCAGTTGGTTATTCCTTGAATTCCTTCCTCCTATACATATAAAAAACTATATCAGCAATATATGATATGGACCTGCAAGTTGTATCATTCCTATTACACTTGCCTCGAAATACGTTATTTAAATGAAGGTAAATATACAAATTCAAGTTTGATAGAAATATTTTCGACATTGAATGCCCCAGATTTAATTATATACAGTGTATGCGATGTAAGTCGAACCGACAAGATTTTTGCTTTAGAATTTTGACGAACAAAATTCTATTACCGACCGACTTATTCTTTATAATAACGAAAAAATAGTACAACTTGGGAGCAAATTGAGTTTAGGGACTTTGCTCGATCGTTCATTTATCACAGAAAAATACCGTTCTCCAGTTATTCGACCCGAATCTACAGAGCCGATAAATATAATATAGTATTCTGGAACTAATAGAGATATTGGCACACCACTTTGAAAGGAAAAGAGCTTTAAATGTGATGTATATAATTTATTACCCCTTAAATAATAAGAATGCACGGTGCAAAAATGCAAACTTTCTACAATTACTCATAAAGTGGTTAAAATAACCCCATTATGAGTAGAAAATATATATCCATAAGCTTTAAAATAAATCCCATATTGCATTAATCGGTTCTGCAGAATCGGATAAAACCTGGATTTTGAATTCGAACTATTGGGTTAAAAACCGCTTATTTTCCCACGAACATAGCTCCCAAAGTCAACATAATCCCTAACTTGTACTAATTTGCACACTCAACATATGTGCATTTTATTATTGTTTTCAAATCAAATCACCTTACATCGCAAACATCCATGCGAATGTAACTTGAATGTATAGATGTTCTAACCTTTGCTAAAATTTTTCCAAGTCCTCTTCCTCCAAGTGCAGTAGGCACTGTTGTATGCATTAACTTGATTAATTTGTCATCCAGATCATACTCAAGATAAGCAGTGCCTACATTCTGAATTTCAATGAAGAAGCGTTTATTTTCCCGGTCATGTTGTACGTTTTGTTGGTAGCCTGTAGTACTAAAATTTAGATGGGACATGTTTAAACAAGTGTTGGGTTTGGACAAAAATGCTGCTTGAGGAAATCCAGGTTGTTGTCTTTGGCAAATTTTATGTGGTAAACTTCCACCGTTCGCAGTAGTCCATGATAATCGAAAACACCTTATCCAATTGTTACTTTTTCTCAAAATACGACCCGTAAGTATAGTGTTCATTTTCCTAAAGGTGCATAAAAAATCTAAATGGTGAACCAAAATAACTCAAATGTCATACCTGAATCTGAATGAAAACAAACTATATTCCAAAAACTTCCACTAGAAAATGATTCTTTAATTTTATCCTCAACGAAAAAACCGTCGCCATAGATACCTTGTCGGGTAAACACAAAATAGGCAATACAGGTCTACCTAATACCCGACGTAAGCCTTTAGCGTTTTTTACAAGAGCAGTTTTCGTGCCTTAAAAGGCAAAAAATAAATGTTTAAAAAATTATAATTTATAGGAGTTTTTAGTTTTTAAAAATTTGCTGCTATTTAGTTGTTTATGGGATATGGGTAACATGGATTACGTGTTTGGTGAACATGGACAAACAAAACATGTTAGGTAGGGTTGATAAGTATTTTTACGGCACGTCAGCTATTAGGTATAGGCCATGCAGCGTTGTCAGTGTTGCATGGTAGAAGAATATAGGTAGACGCGTCGACACAGCTGCTGGGACAATGAGCTGTCAAACCAATTTTGAAATTGAAATGTTAAATGAAAAATTATTTAAATTTGCAAAAATTTTTGAAAAAAAAAAACGCGAATTCTAATAACCTCCTTTTGACTTAGAATAAGAAAACATATAAAAATCTACTTATATTTAAAAAAACATTTCAATTTTTTGACATATCAATGCTCCGAAGCGTTGATGCATCTACCTGTATTCTTCTGCCATGTCAGTGTTGGGAAAAATTGCGGGGAAACATAACAACAATTTGGGGATTTTTTGTAAAGTTACTCCCAAGGTACAATAAAAAGGTAAGCTACCAGTTGATTCCAAGTGTGTCCGACTTCTGCCTATTTTGTGTATGCATTTATTGTTTTGAAAAACAAAAACCAAATATTTTCAAAATCAATGATTGGAAAAAACGTACATTGCAGGGCGCACATTAAATAACCATTTTTGACATGGAATTGGAAGATTTATCAATTTAGATCATATTTCTGAAAGAAAATCCAGGCATTTCATTCATCTTTCGCGCCTTTTAAACAATATTCAAAATAGTAAAAATATTAAATTAATTAGAACCACCTAGTGCATCTACTTTTGAATAATTCTGACAGAAAGCGGGGTGTATTTCTGTACTTTACTTCTACCTCCTTATTGTACCATGGTTACTCCTCTTGTTTGTTTGTTAAGTTATGTCCTCTTAAAGAGTCGCCCTTTTTCAGGATTGTATTAAAAACATTTGACCAAGAGAAGTGTTTGCGCCAATACAGGGAAAAGCAAAACCAAATGTAAAGTAAGATACATAAACATTCAAATATAACATAAAGGCAAACAATGCAATCTACACTAAACAGTGGTTGACGGTATATTATAAAATTAGAGATCGCATTTACTGTTCGATTGATACAGTTCATATATACTTATTTTATCTACTCCTCGATCAGCTTACAATGTTGAGTTATTTAGCTATTGTCGTCTGTCTGTTGTAATCAAGCTATCTTTCGAATGGATAGAAGGATACAATTTTCAACACATTGTTTTTTTAGGCAGGTTAAACTCATAGCCCGATTGACGATTTAGGTTAGGATTTCCAATAAAATAGTTTTAAGTTTGGTACTTACAGTTCGTAATGGGCTCTACTTCCTGTGGAAGAACATTGTATATGTAGGTCCACTTTTTCTTACAGATCCCATTTAATGGTAGCTTCAGTTAGAACTAGAAGGTAAAGTCATGTAATCATATGATAATTTTTTTTTTCAAATTTATACATTTGACAACATCTCATTGCCAAAATCGATATTCATAAATCCATTGTATACACACAAAATCAGATATGGGAACTGTTTTTTATGCATTGATATTTGACAAGGTAAATTACAGAGAATGCAGAGCTGGGAATGCTAGTTTGAAATAAAGTTAGCCGGGCCAAACTTTTAATACCCTCCACTTTAGGGAAAAGGAAACATTAGAAGAAATGTGGCAAAAACCATTAAAATGCCGAATATCGGGAGGTACCGTTATATGGGGGCTATACCAAATCGTGGACCTACACATGCAATGTTTCGCCAAAGGAGCTAAAACCCATTATGACCTAAAAAAACCAATTTTCAGACAAATCCGTTAAAAATGTGGCAAAAATTATCAAAATACCGAATTTCGGAAGGTACCTTTATATGGGGGCTATGGACCTATACATGCCATGTTTTGCCACACGTACAGGGACCCGTTTTGACCTACAAATACCAATTTTCAAAAAAATCAGTGAAAAAATGTGGCATAAATCATCAAAATACCGAATATCGGGAGGTACCGTTATATGGGGAATATACCTGAACGTGGACCGATATATCTCATCTTCAATACCAACCATCCTAGACACAATACAAATTGCTCTGCTAAATTTTGGCACTCTACGTCAAATAATGTGGGCTGTATCGTGATTTCAACAGACAGACGGACAGACAGACGGACATCGTTAAATCGACTTAGAATTTTATGCTGATTATGAATGTATATACTTTATGGGGTCTACGACGAATATTTAAGGATGTTACAAATGGAATGACAAAGTTAATATACCCTCCTTTCCAAGGTGGAGGGTATAATGATATGGTCGAGTACTTCAGAAAAGGGTTGCCATATTCCACTTATCTAACCATTGTTCAAAGAGAAAGGTTGCTCAACTTTAAATAAAGTAGAAAAATGCAACTCTGTGCTGGAGTCTTATGGCGCCAAATATACTTTTGAATATGCAACAGTTGGTTTTCTTTATTTTTCATTTTTTAACAAAATTTTCATTTTGGGGAAAATTCGCGAAACAAGAATGGAATTTATTCCAAAAAATTGAATCTTAAATAGTAGGACATTACACTTTTATCCTAAAATTGTACAATGCGTTGCCCATTAACGTCGAAAATATGCATTTATTTTGCAACCGAGTTTGGAATAGATTTAAATTATTGAATTTTTTATTTAAAGCAGTACACACATATACACAAAATTTGTTTTCCGATCGAGATGAGGTTTTGCACAAATAATTTTTAGTTCCAGCATATTGCGTTTTGTTTAAGTCCATAAAGCGACTTTCGTAACTTGCATACTTGGTTTTTAGGAGCATTAGGAGCGTCAGGAAATTCCATGTAAATATCTTCTTTTAAATCCCCGTAAAGAAATGCATAATAGGTCTCTTCATAGTCAATTTCGGCTCTCCGAAGGAAGCCTTTCGGTACTAGTCGGACTTTGTATTGGACGGGATTGACATTTGCATCCTCTTTGATGCGAAATACCTATTTGGACTTCAATACTTTATGGTTGACAGGGCGTGAAACCAAATCCCAAATACGATTTTCTTAAATACAATCAAGCTCATCCTTCACAGCTCTCATCCAATTATCTTTAAAAGAATCGCTCATGATTTCGTCATATGTTTTAGGCTCTACTATACAATGGGAAATTGCGGAATTGGCATTTCTGCTTCTTGGCTCCAATGAAACAGCTTCAGAGTTTGGTGGTCAGATTGCGTAGCTGTGGTTTCATTTTCGTTAATAGTAGTTTCTTCGGCGCCAGAAACCAATTCATCATCTGAATTACTTTCATCATTACTAAAATGTTCAGCAGGAACGAGATTCTCCAAACATTCCCCCTCTTGCTCGTTACTGCGGGATCTTATAAGCAATTAAAGATTTTCTTTTTCCTGAATCTGTTGCAAATAAGGAAAACAGTCTTCGACAAAACGAACATCTCCATTACACGTATAACCCATCATTGCCATTTCTTGTGATTTTGAATCCAGTTTTTAAAGATAAATTCAAAAATTTAAAAAAACTTAATTATTGTAATACTTTAATGCTAAACAAATAGCTCGGAAAGGAACAGCTGACCATGCGAAAAGCAGGAACATGCCTAATTTAGTCCGCATACACGAAGGGTTTGCCCTTCGTGCAGGAAACTGCAGCCTTTTGAAATTGAGTGGCATTTCTGTTGCTATTAGAGAATTCGAGGTGGCAACATGCCTCTCCATAATAATCGCATCCTTAATTGAATTGTTTTGTAGTTTTCTTACTCTTAGCCTAATATTATTCTTACTCTTAACCTAATACCAAAAGCGTTGTTGATCAATGTTTCTTAATAAAGTCATATCCAATCTGGACCGATTTCAATATAATTCTTTAATTATTAAAAATCGGCTATGTCCAAATTTGAACCGATTTCAAAATAATTTGACAAATTTATTTTTGTTCCAAATTTAGTAACTCATGCCGAATTTCATTGGAATTAGAAATACGTATCGTGTTTGTGTATCAAATACGTGAAATCGGCCGAAAATATATATATGGGAGCTATATCCAAATCTTAACCAATTTCCAATTAATTTGTCAAATTTATTATTGTAGTCGATTTCCGCCACACAATCTGAATTTCATTTGAATCGGTTATATATACCGTGTTTAATGCATAACATACATGAAATCGTCTGAAATATGTATTTGGGAGCCATATCCAAATCTAAACCGATTTCAATATAATTTGACAATTTTTTTGGTACCAGATTTCGTCTGTCTGTCCGAATTTCTTTAGAATCGAACATACAAATCGCGTTGGGTGCATCAAATATTTGAAATCGGCCGAAAATATATATTGGAGCTATATCCAAATCTAAACCGATTTCAATATAATTTGTCTAATTTATTTTCGGACGAATTTTCTAGACGAATTGCATCATGCTTTCCAAATTTCATTGAAATGTGGCCTACACAGCGCGTTTAATATATCAAATACATGAAATCGGTCGAATATATATATGGGAGCTATATCCAAATCTGAACCGATTTCAAAATAATTTGACAAATTTATTTTTGTTTCAAATTCGTTTCGTATTCTAAATTTCGTTGGAATCGAACATACATATCATGTTTGCTGCATCAAATATACATATACATATCATGTTTGCTGCATCAATATAATTTGGCAAATTTATTTGTGTACCAAATTCAGGCACTCATGCCTAATTTCATTGGACTCGGACATACGTATCGTGTTTTGTGTATCAAATATGCGAAATCGGCCGAAAATATATATGAGAGGTATATCCAAATCTGAACCGATTTCAATATAATTTAACTAATTTATTTTCAAAATTTTTAATGGGAATCGAACATACATATCGTGTTAGGTGCATCAAATAAACGAAATCAGTCGAAAAAATATATATGGGAGCTATATCCATATCTGAATTTTACAAATGTATATGTATACTTGGAAATTT